TTTATCATATTCAGCCTCTGACCATCACGACCACAAGCCCTGAGCTCATGTACTTCACCAGACTGGGATAGAATGGGCAGTCTTTCAGGTCAATGTAGTGCTGCCTTAGGAGTTCCTCAGAAGCTGAAGTAACTTCATAGCCATGAGGTGGGTTCTGCTTGAAGCACTTGATTTCACCTACCAGGCTGCACCATTTGCTCCACATTGACCATGGCCCAAATAGTGGACCAGCAGCATCTGTGCTGGGCTGCTGAGCCAGACCAGAGCCCGTGCAGAGACCTACAAGGACCACTAGAGCCAGGAGTTGCCCACCAAGGAGCTGTAGGTGGTCTTTTTTTTTTAAGATTTTATTTATTTGTTTATTTATAGAGGCTAGGGAAGGAAGAAAGAGAAGAAAAAAATATCTCTTGGTTGCCTCTTGCACATGTGGCTCTCAGTACCCACAACCCAGGCATGTGCCCTAACTGGGAACTGAAGCTGTGACCTTTTGGTTTACAGGCTGGTGCTCAATCTACTGTGCCACACCAACCAGGGCATGGTGTTTATCCTACATTTTATTGGAAGCTGATGATTCTTCTCCTGGCAAATTATTTTTTTGTTGTTGAACCAATCTTGCAGCATTTCTTGGATAAACTTGGCTTTTGTGGATTGCTGATCTTGATTCACATGTATCTTATTTAGGACACCTGCATTTATTTCACAGATAAAAGAAGACTGAAAATGGACTGTAATTTTCCATTTCTGTAAAATTTTTAAATTTTCATATTGGTGTATCACAGTTATACTAGATTTTAGTATCTGATTTCATACAATGAACTGAAGAACATTCCCTCTTTTTTTTTCATTCTTTTGAATACAATAAGTAGTCATGTAATATTGTCAATAGGTACTGTGATTTTAAGGGAAGAAATTATTAAAAAATCAAATCAATTTTACCATAGGCTCATTGATGTAAACAAGAATTAAATTCTTACAGCATCTCATTGACATTAGAAGGAAAGAAGTTTAAACAAAATGACATTATTCAAGCACCCGCTACAGTTTGTTTAAAACTGCCTGTGTTTCTTCCCAACTTTATAAAACTCACCACTGAACTCTTCGTCAGAGTCAAATTACACACTTGTGACTCCTATTCTCACACTCACCATGGGCTGAGTGCTGCCTGAAACAGTTAAATTGTTTCAGGTTAAACAGTTCATAAATTGTAGGTTCTTTATTCAGTTTGGTGAATCTAAGGTGGATAGTTCATATCATAGAGATAAGCCATTGATAAATTTGGTCTATTAGTCAGTAGATGCTATTTTAATGGTGTTGTCTTCACTTTTTCACTTGTCATCAGTATTTTTCATTTTTGTCTCTTTATGAGTTTTAGCACATGCATCAATAACTGGAAACAATCAAGACTCAAGGAAATGTGACTCCTCTTCACCAAATAAATAAATGCCTTCTTTATAGCAGCTTCCTGGATTAAAACTAAAATATGGACTTCAATATCATGATATATGAAGTTTTTTCCCCCAAAGAAAAAGTCAAAACTGTATGTATATTCCCAAACATCAAGAATCTACTGCAAATGGTGTAGATAAGGGAAGTCCAATCTTTTGGTGTCTCTGGGCCACACATTAAATACAAACACTAACAAAAACTGATGAGCAAAGAAAAGGTCCGTGCATAATTTTCGTGGTATCTGCCACCACAGATAAGCAAAAATGTCCTCACATAATAACCCTAACTATGCAGTGGTCCTTTTTGATAATCTTTTAAAATTGGCAAGCAGGTCCCAAGTTTGTGATCACTAATATAGAAAATATACATATCTAAGTAATATCATTGATTTAAAAAACTTTTCTATTATAAAAGTAAAAGGAAAACATAAAATTAGTGAAATGTTTGACACTGAATTTGAGAAACTACTGCATCAATATCTGGCTTGTCAGAAGTAGCTGCAATTCTCAGTGAATTCTCAAGGTACCAGATATTTTGGCTTCAATTTTACTCTTAATGTCTTTCATTCTTGAAAATAGTTGCCAAATAGCGATGACATGAATAAGGCGTGATTGTGAAGCAAGGGATATTTGTCTCTGAAAGATAGGACCTATAAAAGTCCATTAAAGAGACACAATCAAATTTTTACATTGAATGTCAGATTTCAGCTCTATGCGTTCCATTTGAAAACTGGCAAGCAACATATTTATGTCGACTGAAAATGGAGTCACAAATATAGCAAAATATTATTTTCCCAGAGATCTTGAAATCTGTTTTCAAATTCTTGTATCAAATCAAAAAGCAAGGCTGCATATTTTTTTGCTGTTCACAGGACTGTGTTTAGCCAATGTTTAACCAGCAAAATATATAAAATAGTCATAATTTCAGTCTCATTTGGAACACTCTTATGGTTTGAAACATGGTACTGATAAGATTTCCACCTTGAAAATGCATGCTTAACTCGTTTAAATGGGCAGTTAAATCCACTAAAAATGGAAAGTCTGTACCAATTTTCATCGTGAAGTTCAGGCACAATTTGTTTTTTGATACCATAAATGACTTTATAACATGTCACAAATCAAAAAATCTTTTCAACATCTAGCTTTGACTTAGCCATCATACTTCTGAAAAGTAAATGATGTCACCATAGTCAGCATTGATACTTCTATGGAATTCCTGAAGTGGTAATGATTCATCCTTTGGCTCTTATGAAATTCAGTCTTGATGATGATTTGCATGATGTTATCCATTTTTAAAACTTTTCATAGTACATAAATTTTCTTGATGTGCTATGTAATGATACTTTATCGAATATGAGTTTTGGGTGGCAACTGCATCATCTTCTATTAATTTTACAAGTCCCTCTCTTTTACCTACCATGGCTAGGCCACCATCAGCAACTCTACCAGGTATGTTGACAATGGACAAAGAAAATCACTTTAACATATTTTTAATTGCTTCATATAAATCTCTTGATTTAGTTGTATCTTTTAATGGTATTAAAGAAGCCATTTCTCCAGTGACGTTATATTCATCAACATCTCTAATAAAAATGGTAGGTTAAGTTGTAGCTGTAGCATCAGTGCTATCATCTGTCACCAAAGCATAAAATTTAAAATTAGCAACTTTACTCTCCAAACTTCTTTCAACAGATTTTCTAATTTCTTCAAATTTGCCTGGCTATAATCTGGTGAGACAAACTGATTTTAGAAATATCCATCCTTTTTTCAGGGCAAATTATATCTGCCACACTTTCTATACATTACTCAATAAACTTACTATCAATAAGTGGTTTTGATTTTTTTTGCTATTAAATATGCTATCACATAACTAGTTTTACAATGGAGTCCACCTGAGTTGTATCTTCTTAAGAAATTTTTAACACAGACTTTCTTCAGTTCCACCATTCTGTCCTTACGACACAAACCTTCATATGCATTGAATCTGGCAGCATGTTTTTGCATACAATGCCTTTTGGAATTATAGTCTTTGAAAACTTGCACCAAATTCCCCACAAATTAAGCAGAGTGCCTTACTATTTGCCTCAACAAAAAAGTAGTCATTTGCAATTTTTCTTTTTGGGGGTTCTTCTTTCTTTTGAGACCTTATAGATAGATGTTAGGCTGGGATTAAAAATATAATAGATAAGAGACTTTATTTGCTTTTATTATGAAAATTAATTGACAGGAAAATAAAAAGCAAGGGTTGGGCCCTTCCACGGCCCTCTTGGGTGCTGATGCAGGGTGAAGCAGATGGCTGCTTCTAAAGTGTGGCGGGTGATGTGTGAGATGCGGCTGAGGTGTGGAAGTACCTTTAATAATCAAATAAGAACGCTTACCTGACTTCTAAATAACATTATATTCCTGATACTGCAACAGTAATTGAAATATTACTGATAATTGCTGCCTTGATAAGTCACCACGAGCACATGTATGTCTGATGACGTCAATTCTGTCTGTGCTTAGAAGATAACACACTGGAAGCTGAACACTGGCACAAAACTGAAGCCACTCATGCATACAAATAGTGAGAGTATATGTCCATTTATTTTACATGACATTGCAACATGTAATTACTAAAAAAACTCAAAATATTTTAAGTAAATTTATGATTGTATGTTGGGCCATATCCACAGCCATCTGGGGCCACATGTGGCCTTGAGCAGAGGGCTGGACACCCCTGGTGTAGACTAATATGACTTCTCCTTTGTTTTAGTCATTCTTGAGTAAGCACAGTTATTCAGAGGAAAGGGTATGTTCCTCAAACAATGACCATCATTTAATTCACTTAATTTGGTTATATATTTTCCTCTTTTTAAAAGCTGAAGTATTAATTAACATATAAAAACAATACCACAGGACATTTTAAGAAATGAATTTTAAGAGTAAGTAAATAATACTATAAAGCTTCAAACTGTTGAGAATCACTATTGAAGAGAAAATAATTTATTAAAGTGCACCCCCACATCCTTGAAAATTAATCCAGGCCAGGAACACCAATCATGTTGCTTTGTTAAACTAAACTTCTTCTTCCCTATAAGCCCAAAATCTTTTAAACTGCATCAGAGATAAAGTGTCTCAGCTGCTTTGTGACTCAATAATGCAAATAATTTAACCTGTTCCCTGTAATTTGAAGTTATGATACTACTTAGGCACTTTTTCCTTAGTCTTACTCCTTTATGTAATTTTTTAAAAATCACTGTTTCATGCAGCCTTGACTTTTCCATGTGCAGAACTAGAAATTAGAGGAGTGCTCCAGTTGATCACTCCAGTCACCATACCAAAGGTGGAAAGCATCACAATAAAAACCTGACACATAACCAATTCAAAATTTTATTTATTTAGTACTGTGAAAACAAAAATAAAAGCTTTGAAGAACCAACTCTAGTAGTTCATAATAAAATAGTGTTCATATACATATGAAGCTTTAAGCTATTTTATACTTAACTGACAAAAGGGTATGTGTTTGTAAGAAAATATTTAGATAAGTAAGTGTATTTTTGTGGAAATGCTTACCTTTCAGAAACAGCCTCATCATGATCCTGTGACAAATCAATCTTTTCACTTGCTTTTTCTGAAGGGTTAGAAGGTGCAGAGTTCACAGAAGTCCTTCTTTTATCTGGACTATTAATGGACTCTGGATTCTTATCCAAATTTAAAGTCTCTGAATTTGCAATCTGTTAATTGGGTAAGGTAAAAGCATTGGAGGAAAGGGTTACTAATTTTGTTCTTTCACACAAAATTAAAGATAGGTAAACTTTAACTTAGAAAATGTTCTTCAAATAGTCTTGCATACAGATGGCAAAACATATATTAAATTATATGTATTTCAACAGCTGATGACCATGACTGCTTTTAAAAAATACTTCAGAGAAATATAAATAATGATAGTACAGCTTGAATTAAAGGAAGGAAAAACAAAACACCTAGGTCAGTTATTTTCAACCAGTGTGCCACAAGAAAATTTAAAAGATGCAGTATGAGTGGAGGGGAGCAAAGGGGAAAAGAATGTGACAACTCTAATAGTACAAACAATAAAACATTAAGAGTTCCAGCAAAGATGGAGGAGTGGGTAGATACACTTAGCCTTCTCACACAACCAAAAGAAGGAAACGACCAATGTAAAACAAAAAACAACCAGAATTGCCAGAAAATTGAACTGTATGGAAGTCTGACAACCAGGGAGTTAAAGAAGAAACATTCATCCAGATTGATAGGGGGGACAGAGACAGGCAACCAGGGAGGAGAGGATGTGTGGCAAGGCTGCCGCTGGCGGACTGGGCAGTCCCCCATTTGCGTGCAGATAAACTAGGAGGAGCAACTGGGGAGTGAGAGAGTCTGTGCAAACCAGGGTTCAAGCTTGGACAAAATGAAGCCTCAGAACCTCTGGCTGTAAAAACCTGTGCAAGTTGGGGCAGTGGGAGAAACTGCCAATCTCTTGAAAACAGAGCAAGAGCTAAGCAAGTGGCATTGTTTCCTCTCTGACCCCTCACCCACATACCGTGCCATAATGCAGGGAAGTGGGCTGTCCTGCCTTGCAAATACCTAAGGCTCTGCCCCTTACAATGTAACAGGTGCATGGACAAATTGAAGAGACTAAGAAATATGGCCCAAATGAAAAAACAGATCAAAACCATAAAAAGAACTAAGCAACCCACAGAGATAGCCAGAGTTCACAACACTAACAATCACAGAAATGATTGACTATGGCTGAAAAATAAAAGAAGAGTGAAGGCTATACAAAGTGAAATAAAGAAAAATATACAGGGAACCAACAGTAAAGGGAAGAAACTGGGATTAAAATCAATAATTTGGAACAAAAGGAAGAAATAAACATTCAACCATAACAGAAGAAGAATTTTTTTATAAAAATGAGGAAAGGCTTAGGAACCTCTGGGACAACTCTAAATGTTGCAACATCCAAATCATAGGGGTGCCAGAAGGAAAAGAGGAAGAGTAAGAAATTGAAAACTCATTTGAAAAAATAATGAACGAGAACTTCCCCTCTCTGATGAAGGAACTAGACATGCAAGTCAGGACACTCAGAGTCCCAAAGAAGTTGGATACAAGGAGGAACACACCAAGGCACATCGTAAGTACATCAGCCAAGATTATAGATAAGGAAAGAATCTTAAAAGCAGCAAGAGAAGAAGTTACCTACAAAGGAGTTCCCATAAGACTGTCAGCTGATTTCTCAAAAGAAACATTGCAGGCAAGAAGGGGCTGGAAAGAAGTATTCCAGTCATGAAAGGCAAGGACCTACATCCAAGACTGCTCTAGCCAGCAAAGCTTTCATTTAGAATGGAAGGGCAGATAAAGTGCTTCCCAGATAAGGTCAAGGTAAAGGAATTCATCATCACCAAGCCCTTATTATATGAAATGTTAAAGGGACTTATCTAAGAAAAAGAAGATCAAAACTATGGACAGTAAAATGACAACAAACTCACAACTATCAACAACTAAACCTAAAAAACAGAAACAAAAACAAACTGAGCACATAACTATAACAGGAACAGAATCACAGAAATGGAGATCACATGGGGGATATATCAGCAAGCTGGGGGAAGGGGAAGAATTGTGGGAAGGTACAGGGAATAAGAAGCACAGTAGTAGGTACAAAACAGAGAGGGGAAGATAAAGAATAGTATAGGAAATGGAGAAGTCAAAGAACTTATATGTACAACCCATGGACATGAACAAAAGGGGGAAAATGCTGGAAGAATAGTGATACTGGGTGGAGGGGAATTATGGGGAGGTTATGTGTGCCATGAGGTAAAAAAGGTTGAAAATCACTGACCTAAGTATTTAGACACATTTTATTCCTATTAAACTAAGTTTTAAGAACTAATAAACACTAGGATTTAACAAAGAAACTTTTTGACTTTTGTTCACTTTTAATAATGAGTGAAGACCATACATACAGAATATTTCAAGTTGCTCTTCTAGTCAATGAGTTTTGTTTAAAACTTAGAGCTGAAACCTATAGCCCATGCTTTGGTTGAAAACTTGCAGTATTCAAACTATGTATATATTAATCAATACAAAAGGATCAATTGATTGTCCAACTCATGGACTATCCTAATGGGTAACATGAATAAAAATGCAGATACAAAAGGCAGAATTCTGAAACACTGTATTACACGTGCAGATTTTATATGTAGAAATAAGTTCAGACAATGGAAAGTAACTGCAAAAAGCACTGGTATTCTATTAATTCCAGGACAACGTGGCACAGACTCACTTTACCCTACTCCTCCCTTCAAAGCACAACTAAATGCTTTAGAAATAATTCAGTAGATAATCATAAAATGCCTCTGAAAAGTGGAAAGAAAAGGGCAGACTGCCTGGGGACCTCAAGATTGAGGAGTAACACCACAGAATTACCTGAGTTTTCTTCTTATTATTTAGATATCCTGCAATGTATGCCAGAAAGGCCAGGGACCTGTCCTACTCCTGAACCCTACTCCTGAACCCCCGAGCGGTGTTGGCTGGACCCCCACTGCACACCTGCAAAATCAGCAGCCAGATTCACCGCAGCAATAGTGTCAGCTAGGTTCCCACTGACACATGTGGTAGCATGGGCTCTAACTGGCTGCAGTAGAAATGTTATCAAAAGCCAGCCAGGATAGAGGGGAAGAAGGGGCGTGGGGAATGGGACAATTGTAATGGCATAATCAATAAATTTTTTTTTTTAAATCTAGCCAGGAACTAAACCCCAGAACTCCACACCTAAAAGAGCAGTGGGCGAAATCCACTGCAATGTCAGTAGGGCCATCTTCTCTTACTTGCTACAAACGACAGTGGGCATGGACTACTGAGGCATCAGCAGTGTCCCTGCACCATATCTGGGGCAGCTGCAGGCCTAATTTACTGTAGTGGCAGTGGCCACAGGCCAACATTTCCTAAACTTCCCAACCAACATCAATGGGAAACCCAGGCAGGACTTGCAGGGATGGTATAGGAGAGCCAGTGGAGCCAGCAAAATGAAGTCAACTAGGAGAGCACTGCAAAAATTTAGAAGAGTAAACTGTCATTGAACTATAACTCACATAAGGAGTCCAGGATGTACACTTTAAATCTAAACAGGGTAACTGAGTGCTGAAAGAAAGTCAAATGCCTAATCTCTTCGAAGAGGTCTCTGTGTAACTGAATGCTCTGACCTTTTGATTTTTCTAAGGCACTAGGCAAAAGCTTGTCCTGATACACTATTGGCTTTCTCTCCAGATCATGTTTTAGGATCTTCTGCAATCTGAATAAGTAGTATCAGAATTTTCCAAATCAAGTCCTCCTGGATCCTTTTGGCTAAACAGTACCTCCTTCAATTTACCTCTTCCCTGTCAGATTTTACTATAAGCAGCAAGAAACCAAGCCAAACCTTCCATACTTTGCTCAAGAATCTGTTAGCCTAATACAAATCCAAGTTCATCACTTACAAGTCCTGTTTCCATATCACTGTAGGACACAATTCAGCTAAGCTTCCTGCCAATATGTAGCAAGAATCCTCTTTCCCCATTTCCTTTTGAGTCCTTATCAACTGTGATTTTAAATGTTCATATTTCACTAAGTCTTTTTATGAAGATTTATATACTCTCTTTGACTATATAGGTTTTCTCTAAGGTGCTCCTCATTTCCTTTCTGAGCCCTCACTTGCAGTGTTTAACATCTATGTTTCTACTAAGAGTCTGCTCAAGGAAGTTCAGGATTTTAAAAAACCATGCTCCTTAATATTCTTCCAGCCTCTACCCATCAACCCATTCCAAATCCACTTGACATTTTTAGCTATTTGTTATAGCAGCATCCCACATGCCCTGGTACCACACTCTGTATTAGTTTCCTGAGGCCACTGTAACAAATTATCACACACTGGGTAGTTTAAAACAAATGTATTCCATCATAGTTCTGGAGGCTGGATATTTGAAATCAGTTTCACTAAGCCAAGATCAAGTTGTTTGCAGGGCTGCATCCTTTCTGGAGACTTCAGGGAAGAATCTGTTTCCTTTTCCCAGGTTCTAGAAGCTGCCAGCATTCTTTGGCACATAGTCCCTTCCTCCATTTTCAATGCAACCATTCCAACTTCTGTTTCTATTGTCTCATCTCTTTCTTCTGCTGTGACCTTCTTATGTACTCTTATGAGTACCGAGCCCTCAGAATATCTCTCCATCTCTATGGTCCTTTTATCATATAAAGTATGATAGTCACACATTCTGAGAATTAGATCATGGACATCTTTCCATGGCCATTATTCACCACTCTCAATCGCCTTGGCACAATTAACTTGAAAGTGACATTTACACAACATTACACCTAGCATTCTTTTTAAGTATACGTGAAACATTCACCAAGGAAACTATACCTGGGACTACAAAAATAAGTATCAGTTAATGTTCAAGTTTGAAATTTTACATAGTATGTTCTCAGACTAAAATGCAATTGGATATCAGTAAAAACAACATACCTAGAGAAGCACCAAGTGTTTGGAAATTAAACACACACTTCTAAATAGTCAAAGAACATTACCCATAAGGGAAATCAGAAATTATTTTGAACTGATAGAAAACAAAAATACAATTTATCAAATATATCATCTTCTGCACTGAGAAGATGCTGAGAAGATACAAGAAAAAGCAGTGCTTAGAAGGAAATTTATAGCTTTAAACATTTTCTAGTAAAAAAAGGTAAAAACTGATGGTCTTTCTCAAGAAGCTGGAAAAAGATTATATCCAATGTAAGAGAAAGAAACTAATAAAAAATAGAAAAGATACAAGTGATAGAGAGTTAATAAGATTTTTTAATTCCTAGCAAGACTGATTAAGAAAAAACGGCTTATAAGTATCAGAAATGAAAGAGAATATATCACTACAGACCTACAAATATTAACAAGACAAGGGAATTTAATTTTATCAATAGTTTTATGCTAAAATATTCAACAACTTAGATAAAATGAACAAATTCCTTCCAAAAACAGTTTACAAAACTGATGCAAAATTAAATAAAAAATCTGAATTGCCTTACACCTATTAACTGAATTTTGAAGAGAAAGTTTTCCTATAAAGAAAGCTCAGAGGTGGAAACTATCAAACATTTAGGAAGTAAAAAAAATCTTACACACTTTGAAAAAACAGGGGAAGGAATACCTCCCAATTCATTTATTGAGAAGAGCACAAATATGATACCAAAATGAATAAAGACACTACAAGAAAAAAGAAATCCAGTGAAGGTACACTGAAGATTACATCTGAATTTTATATAAGAATATAAACAGACACTAAACTCTACTTAATTAGATCTATGTTAAAATGTTTTATGTGTAAATTGCCAAGTGTATTTTGATACAAAATATATTTGTACTTAACGTATCATATATAAAGATGGCTTAACGGATGACTAGATTGACAGATAATGAGAAAAACAAATATATGGTTAAAGTATATTAATCATATACTAAAGGTAGAATTTCGTAGCTGAGTATACAAGGGTTCACTGTAAAACTATTTCAACTTTGCTGTACATGTATCACCATGATAAAATGGTGGGAAGGTGGATAATCTCGGCAATCAGAAATCCCCTCTCTACTTTATTAAAGTAATACATGTGGCATTTACTTTTGGTTACCTAAGGGTATCTGCCTCAAAGATAAAGTTATAGGAACATTCTAAGTATCAATTTATTATCTTTTAATCCCTCTGAGTTTGGAAACACATTCATTCTTTATAATCCAACAACTATAATGTGGGCTAAAAAAGTTAGTAAAATTCCTATGTGTTTATACCAACCTTACAGTCTGTATTACTGGGTAACATGTTTGGATCCAAACAATTCCTTTGAGATAATACCTTTGTAATACGCCTTTGAAGTTTTGCTACTTTTGCCTAGAAAAGAAAAACAAGTAAATATGTGACCAGAGTACTAAAAATATAGAGAGATGGAGAGAAAACTATTTTCCAAAGCAGTTTTGAGAGACTTAAGCATACACCCAAATAAATCAGAAATTCTTATATAAGCCAAAGATTTAAATCCTACTGCTGAATGGATAAAGATGTAGTATATGTACAATGGAATAGTATGAAGCCATTAAAAAAGATAAAATATGGTTATTGTGTCAACATGGATGAACCTTCAGGGTGTCATGGCTAAGTGAAATACGTCAGACAGGAAAGACCAAAACTGTATTAATCTCACGCAGACAAAAAACAAACAAAACAAAAAAACACTCTTATCTATGGGCAACGGATTGGTGGTTACAAGAGGGGAAGGGTAGGTTGGAGGAGGGTGAAATGGGTAAACGGGGTCAAGGTATGGAGATGGATGGAAACTAGACTTTTGGTGGTTAAATGCACTACAAATATACAGATACTGAATTATAATGTTGTACATCTGAAACTTTATATGTTATAAACCAATGTTAACTCAATGAAAAAAATAATGTTTGATGCTAGTATGACATTCTAGAATGGAAAATAAAAGCACCAAACTTCTAATTGATCCATAATAAAATTGATGTTGGTAGAAACACCAATCAGCAAGTAACCCTGAAACACACACACACACACACACACACACACACACACACACCCCAGACCTTGAAACTGCTTCTATAAGCTCTAATACAGAATATATTTTGAATGAAAAGAAAGATCCCTGCCTATATATTAAGCCTGTCAATTGATACAGAATAGCTGACATTTCTAAAAGTATTTGTCAAAGGCAAATATTGCTGTGATATAATCAATTCTGTACCTATAGAAATTTGGTACATCAGCCTTATGGCCAGGGATATTTGGGTCTGTTTTACTGTTTTCCTTTCCTAACATATAAAATATTACCAAATTTTACTTTTTAAAAGGACTCGAGTGAAATCAAATGAAATTAGAAACTTACGATGAGTTCATCAGCTATCGCTTCATGTTTATTCCTGCACTGTATCTTCCCAATGCGTTCGGTCAATTCTCTCAGTTTGTTATCAAATAATTTGTAATTTATACTATAGCTCTCCTGTTGAACCAAATGTCTGACCTAGAATTTTAAAATAAAAACCAAAACACCCCACGTTTCAAATTTAAAAGCAATTTTATTCTCTACTGCTTAAAAATAGCTTTGTTCTCTTTTGGATTTTCTGTAAACAATATACCTATACATTTATATTTATATTACTATACCAGTAAGTTTTATAAAATTTGAATATCAAATTTAGCAAAACACACCTAGTAAATCTATTCTCCTAGAGCTTATTTTAGTTTCCTATAGTTTCAGTTGAATTCCACAGTACACATTAAAGGGCAATAAAAGCCTATATCCCATTTACATTTTTTAATGACCATAACCTAAACCTACTATTCCATTGAACTCCATTTACCTGAAAAACAGAGCCAATGAAAATGGTTAATTGGTCTCTAATAGAGATCTAGCAAATTATGCAAGTTTGACCTTTGACCCTGCCATGAACAGTTATACGACCTCTGGGAAGTCACAACATCTCTGAGCTTCATTTTCCTTCTTCACAAATGGGTAGGTGATACAATATTGAATGAGAGATGCTCATAGGATTTTTATAAGAACATTATAGACAACATTCAGAAGAGCTCCAAAAGATAAAAAACACTGAACTGATATGAAAGGAAATAAATATACAAGATCACCTTTATAAATACAGTTTTATAGGGGGGTGACTTATTGTTAAAATTGCAGGGACAATTATGTGGTGTTATGTTATCTAGCATAATGCATGCTATTCTAAGAGATCATGATAGCTATAACATGAAATACTGATTCATTTCATTACCTGGCTGTTTTTTAGCAAACAGACTGGTGTATTTTCAAGAAGCATATCTAATCTCAGTGCTCAATGATATGAACAGCTCTGATTATAGATTCATTCAGAAACATCTACTGTAGTTATTTGGTCAGTGTGTATGGTTTTGTAAGCAACTTTTGTAACAGAGAAGGTAGACTATCATACAATGACAAAACCTGTCATAATACATTTAAAGTATTTAATACCTATATTTACAACTTTATCCTATTACCTTATTTTTCAGTATATAAGATGCACTCCCCCATTTGGGAGGAATAATGGTTGTTAATGCTGCTGTTGAGTTCTGTTTACATTTACATTGGTGAAATATTATGTTATTAAATATTTTACCATATATTTTGCTTCAAAAATTTTTTTTTCAAAAATTTTCCCTATTTTCCTCCTCTAAAACCTAAGTGCATTTTATGGTCCAAAAAATATGGTATTTGCTTCTTGGTGCTCAAAACTGAAAAACAAAGTTTCCACCTTAAACTCTTATATACTGACATCACCTGGATAATTAAGTCATATATTCAGTAATTTTGATTATTCCCAAGGATTTTCCTTTTCATTTTCAATTGCTCTTGTTCTTTAACAGTATTTCTACTTATTTCTTCTGTAATGTTTCATTAAGATTTTTTTCAACAGTTTCTCAACATTAGACATGATTGTCATTACTTTCACAACTCTTAAAATACTTAATTAAATTAATAAGGGCTTAAAATATGTGTTATATAAATAATTGCTTAAAACACATACTATTTTCACTGACAGTCATTGTCTGTCACCCATGTATGGTTTTTATGGATTACTGCATGCTTGCAAGTTTACTAGCTGGGGTCAATATGTGAAGTTCATACACAGAAGAACCTTGGAGAAAGATCTGTTTTGAATATGGGAATACTGTTTTGATGACAAGCAAAAGCCACACAGTGTTTGTCAAACTTCCCTGGTGAGGAAGAACCACAGGGTTACTTGTTATAATCACAAATCCCTAGTCCCTCTCCTGGATTTACTAAACAGAATTTCCTAGAAAGGGGGCTGAAAAGTTATATAATTAACAAGTATTACTAGTGATTCTTATCAGTTAAGTTTGAGAAAAGAGCAGCTTAAAACAACAGTCTTCAACTATTTCTTGAGTGAGCCCAAGAAACCACAATTTAAAAAAGTACTCCTGGTAATTCAGATGGAGGCAGACTGATAGCTTGATTATTTTGGATTAAATGCCACCAAGGGGTAATTATTCTTGGTTAGGTTGACATTTGTTCTCATTTAGTGGTGGTGTTCCTTATACAGAAGGCAGACACAATAACCTCCACCAAATACCTCCTGAATGTCTTCTGCCAATAGTAATGTGTCCAAATTATAAAATCAGATGGAAGTCCTAGGTCCAATTTGGAGACGACAAAGTGGCCTAAAGAATGGTATAAGACTGGCAGTTATATATCCCCAATATGCCTCAACTTTCTAAAATGGTGGGTACAGTAACAAACTTGTATATTAAACTAAAAACCCCTCTACTTCGGTAATTTAATCAGAACCAACTAGGCAAAGATCCTTAAGAAATCTCAAAAGAAGAGTCATGGGCTCCAGGACTCTCTCAGCAGGGAAGAACAACATCAGAATGGGAGACCCTATTCCACTGGGACTCAATCGAGAAAAAACCATGTAGGTTATTTAATTTAGATGCATTTTAGAAACTTTACTGTTTGGACAGGAATCAAAACATCAAATGAGGGTAAGCTAGCCTAGTAATTTAGAGATAGGTAAAAAGATAGGAATTAGCTAAAACTCAAGTTGTCTCTGAAGATTGTGCAAGAAACTTCCAGGTAGGGGATGGATGGAAGTAGAGTGGGAAGATAAATTACATTTCTAAACATCACTGGGAAGGACTATTTTCTGTGCCAACTTCGACCAACTATTTTGTGAGGAAGATAATAATGAATGAAAACCCTGATTTTCCATGCCATTGAAATGAACACTTCCAAGGATTACTTTGTAATTATGTGTCCATATTTCTGAATTCAGTCACCAATCACTGGGAATAAGCCACAGCAATAACTGCCAACCTTTTGCTTAAACTACATCCAATTTACCATAATTATGCCCTCTTCCCTGCAAACAACAGAATATTTACATATATTTTATTAGTGTCTCTTTGGTCTTCCTGAAGAGAGTAGGAAGTAGAAAGGGAAAACTGCTGACTTATCCGTTAAGCTGGTTTTGCATGAGTCTTTCAAAAGACTTCCAGGTATTATGTGAATACATATTTTTATAATACTATGGAACTGTAATGGCTGTTTTAAAAAACAGTAGTGCTCTTGTTTCTCAAGCAGTTAGCAGGATAGTCTGAATTGGGACTTTTTTTGTTCCATTACAGCCGTCAAGGCATTAATTTACTACTTAATGACTTTAGTTGTAGCATTCTAGTGGTAAATATGCACAGTAAAATAGGAAAAAATGATGATTGAAACAGGACCTACTAAAATTGAATCTCATTACACTTAAGCTAAGCGTTGATCAGACATGTATAAAAATTGTAATACAATGAGATGATATGGGAGAAAAATGAAAAGCAAAATGTACATTTAATGATACTATAAAGCAAAATGTCAGCTAATAACAGCATATCTGTGTAAACTTGGAAATTAGGGCAAGGAAACCAGAATGTAACAGGACTTTGCAATGAACTTTTGGGTTGTCTGAGTCTAGGAAATAGTGATCAGTTGTGATAATGTCTACAAACAGCTATAGATGCAGACCAAAGAACCCTATTACCAGTACAAAATATATTTTTCAGCAAAGCTCAAGGTCATGCAGTGTCTGATTCAAAAAGAGATTTAAGCCCCTTCTCTTTCTACCAGAACACCCTACCTTGATTACTCTGCATTGGATCATTCTCAAGAAACTAGCAATATTTTGGAAATGTAAATAATTATCTTCCCCTAATAGCTCCATCTGCTAATTCAGTTTTAATATACCAGGTTTGCATCAAGTGAAAGTCATCTGTACTAAGTCATGGAGATTAATTAAATTTTACCATTTTTAACTAATCAAACGTAAAAGTTTCTAACACAAATATTTAAGTACCAATATTTTACCTGTTCCACCAATTCTGTTTGCTTTTCCAGAGCTACACAAATATTTTCATTAATTTGCTCTGAAGTTTTCATGCGCTTAACATTTTCTTTGTTTTCTGAAAACATCCTCTTCTTTTGATTATGGCCTTGGGGAGATGAAGAGATCAGAGATAAAAATATTCCTTCTAATGAAGGAAACAGGAAAATTCTCTAATTTAGGAACCCTCTAAGCAAATGAAAAAACTAATGTGATCATGGCAGCAGTTTTTAGAAAATGCAATTGTATAAAAAATTGTAACAATCTTTTTCTTTTTTTTTGATGAATATCCTAGATAGAGTTCTGGTCTCAGATACACTTTCCCTCCAACCTTATTTAATACACATGTATCACCTATTTAATACTGACAAAAATCGAATAAACTATCATTTAATCCTCCATATTTTATAGTTACTTAAGTGGTCACAATATCTATAAACAGTTACTTAAGCAGTCCTACATATTTTTCACAGGTGACCCTATTTTGAAGCAATTTTACATTCATCTTGTTCAATGATCATTCTGCAACCTAGACAAAAACACAAGATTTATCCTATAAAATCAGTTTTTTTCATTTTCATTAAACTACAAAAACACCCTACTTCTAATAAAATGTACTTTAGGTTTTTTAATGATTTCATGACCCTAAAGCTTCACTGGTTAATTATTTGATGTGTTTCACCCTACACACACACGTATGTACACGTGTATGTATTCTTACTATATATCAGGTCAAACTTGGCATATGATTTACAGGTCAATTCTATGGAAAATAAAGTGGGTTCACAAACACTTAAAAAAACCCACACTTTCTTTCAACTAACCTATTAATCTAATAAATAAAACCTCAAAATAAAAAAGGATATAGATGAAATAAACAAAATAAATGCCATGAACTACCTTTTGATTTTTTTTGCACTCTCATGGAAAAGTGACTGATTTCTTCTTTGACAGAATTTACTTCCCTTTGGACCTAGAAGATACCGTTTCCCCACCCCACCAAGAATGGTTCGGAAACAAGATACTCAAATATTATTGTCACTGTCTACTTTTTTCCCTATATAGGGTGGAGAAAAAGTACATTTACAGTTGTGAGTATGCAAAACACAGTTTACTCTTATACATCATTTATTGATTATTGTTATTTTCCATGCAAAAACTATAAACCTATTTTTTCCCCACCCTGAATGCACTGTTTCTACATCTGAGACTATAAAATCCCCTCAAAGAGTAATTATTTTGATTTGCACAAAAGGTGTACAAGTATACACTTACTGTTACTCCTATCTGTGTCAAGTGACGACAGCCGTGTTGAGTCTGTATTTTCACAATCTGAAATGCTGGAATGACAGGCTCTACAGGATTCTTCACCTTTCAAACTGTCAGCAGTACAGTTACTAGAAATTATTGAATTCACCACCATATGTGTTTTATCAATAGGGACAAAATGGGTGTCTGAACTTACAGTCAATATGTCATTTTGCCTTTTATAATGTGTTTGTAATTGGGAAACCATCTTATCAATTCTCTTATCATCCAAGGAATTGATTACTGTAGACTCTGGCATTTGAACTATACCACTCAATACACTGCGTGGATCACTAGTGGATTTCAGATTACAATCCACTTTGTGCTGTTCAAAAGAGGATCTTGTTACATTTGCCTGATATTCAAAATGGTTTTCAGAAGTGTTTTGTGAATCTTTTGCATCTTGTGTAGTCAGTTTCCTGTGAGATTCTATTGGTTTGCTTGGCTTTTGGTAAAGGCATACAACTTGTTCTTCAATGTACTGCAATCTTGTTTCCAAACCAAATTCTAGTGGTTTTACTACATTGTGAGAAACTACATTACTTTTCTGCGAGCATATTGAATTTTTGGTAGAGTCCAACGAGGGAGCATCACTTTCAGAATGTCTACACTTGTTATTTATGACACCAATACTTGAATTCTGATTATCACTTGACACATTATTCCCAACTGTTGCTGTTTTCAGTGCTTCAACATTCTTTGACTTATTGAGGATCTCTCTTTGCTTCCGGCAACTGGCAGGCATTGTTTTTTTTGCTTTTAATATCTTCCGTTTACTTCTATCTGGACTTGCCATCTTTCACATCCTAGAATTTAAGATAGCATATTTAAATGCATTTCTCCAGAAGACTAAAGCTAACATTTATTTATAATATTAAAACAATGTTGACTTCAAATAGAATAAAATATATACGAACAAATTTAACCAAGACCTATACTTGGAAAATTATAAGACACTGAAGAAAGGAATTGAAGAAGATACAAGTAAGTGGAAGCATATACCAAATTCATAGATAGGAAAAACTGACATCATTAAAATGTCCATACTTCCCAAAGAGATCTATAGATTCAGTGCAATTTCTATCAAAATGCCAAAGACATATCTCACAGAAACAGAACAAATATTCCTAAAATTTATATGGGAGTACGAAAGACCCTGAATACCAACAGCAATCCTGAGAAAGGAGAACAAAGCTGGAGGAATCATGCTATCTAATATCAAACTATACTATAAGCCTATAGTAATCAAAACAACAGGATACTGATATAAAAACTAAACAGATTTCCAGACAAGATGGAGACATCGATAAAAACACTCTGCTTCCTTGCACAACCAAAAGAAGGATAACCAATTTAAAAACAATACACAGCCCTGGCAGGTGTAGCTCAGTGGACTGAACACGGGCCTGTAAACCAAAGGGTTACTGGTTCGATTCCCAGTCAGGGCACGTGCCTAGCTTGCAGGCCAGGACCTCAGTGGGGGGCACCCAAGAGGCAACCACACACTGATCTTTCTTTCCCTCTCTTTCTCCCTCCCTTTACCTCTAAAAATAAATAAATAAATAAATAAAATCTTAAAAAAAAAAAAAACAGCCATAACTGACAGAAAATCAAACTGCATGTAACTCCAACAACCAAGGAGTTAAAGAAACATTCATTAAAGAAACATTCATCCAGATTGGTAGGAGGGTGGAGATGGCAGTGGGGAGGAGAGGACCCACAAAACCTCTAGCTGTAAAACTGTGGGGATTGTGAAGGCAGGAGAAATTCCCAGTCTCACAAGAGAGTCTGTTGGAAAGTAGGGCTAGAGCGAAGCGAGCCAGCGGCATTGTTCCCACTTTGATGCCTCCCCCACAGACAGTGCCACAATGCAGCAAAGAGGATTGCCCTGCCCTGGTTCTAAGGCTGTGCCTCCTTACAACATAACAGGTGTGCAGAGACAAAGAAATACCACCTAAATTAAAGAACAGATGAAAACTCCAGAAAAACAACTAAGCAACAAGGAGACAGCCAAGCTATCTGATACAGAGTTCAAAACACTGATAATCAGGACAATCACAGAACTGATTGAGCTCAGTTGCAAAATGAAGAAAGAAATAAAGGCTACACAAAGGAAATAAAGGAAAACATAAAAGAAACCAACAGTGAAGGGAAGGAAACTGGAGCTCAAATTAACAATTTAGAACAAAAGGAAGAAATGGAACAGAATGAAAGAACAAGAATTCAAAAAAAAAAAATGAGGAGAGGCTGAGGAATTTCTGGGACAACTTTAAACATTCCAACATCCAGGGGTGCCAGAAGGAAAAGAGGAAGAGCAAGAAATTGAAAACTTACTTGAAAAAATAATAAAGGAGAACTTTTGCAATCTGGCAAAGGAAATAGACTTCCAGGAAGTCCAGGGCACTTAGAGTCTTCCAAAGAAGTTGGATACAAGGAGGAACACACCAATTTAAATCATCATTAAATTACCTGAGATTAAAGATAAGCAATTTTAAAAGCAGCAAGAGGAAAGGAGATAGTTACCTACAAAGGAGTTCCCATAAGGCTATCAACTGATTTCTCAAAATAAACCTTACAGGCAAGAAGGGGCTGGAAAGAAGTATTCCAAGTCATGAAAGGCAAGGACCTACATCCAAGATTACTCTATCTAACAAAGCTATCATTTAGCATGGAAGCGCAGATAAAAGTGCTTGGCATAACACCAGAAACTTGGAGGAAAGCCAGGTCAATGATAGCAGTGTAGCAGCTCCCTCCCCTCCCAGGGCAGTGAATTCCCAGAATCAAACGCCAGGAGAGACTTAAACGGGTAAAGTCACTGTGGGGGAGGGTGGGTAATGAAAAGACAGCAAGCACACCCACTGCTGATTTGTACCCAAACTAGAGCAAGCAGAGGTCGCAGGCTGGCTAGTTCCAGAGTGGGGGGGATCCTGGTGGCAACTGGAGCTGGGAGAAGAGGTGAGCTTCGACTGGCTGAGACTGAGATAGACTCTGGACTTGTCAGTGAGTTGGAAAGTGTGGAAAGCCAGGCAGTGGCATGGAGCAGCAGCAGCAACAACAAAGACATTTTTCCAAAGGGGAACTGAGGTGCACTGGGCAAGGATCTTGCAGGCACAGCTGCCCGGTCAACAAAGGACTGTGGGTGAGATTTGCTCCCACTCAGTGCCCCTCACAGATTGATCAATGGGGTGCAAAGTGAGGTGGTTTATCAGCAACAGCATGGCGTAGCTGGGTAGAGAGTGTGGGCCAAAAAATGCTAGGAGGGCCTAGGCTGGAAACTGGGTACTTGTGATTGTTGTAGCCCAGACTGAGTACCCCCATCCTCGACAAACCACCCGAGAGGGAAAACAGAGCCCAACCCCCAATGCCTACAGGAGCCAGGAAATCTACAAAACTGGCTGGGAAGGCTTAACCAGCTGGGGGGCTTTTCCTTTTCTTTCCTTTTTTTTTTGCAAGAGTAGGATAGTAAGAACTGGACCTGAGAGAAATCAGAGACAAATCCAGAAGGAAGTGAGAAGGTAAACACCAACAGCTGAGACAAATTTCACCTTGCTCTTCCTAAGAATATCTTGCATGTTTTTAATTTCTCTTCTTTTCCTTTTAGTTATTTTTGTTTTTTTCTCTTTCATATTGATTTTAATTTTTCTTCTTTCACTTCACTCATATTCCAAATAACTTACTACTCTTAGGTCTTTTACTTTTTATTCTTTTCATTCATATTATAATTTTTTTATATTATTGTTATTCCAAATAACACAAAGCATCCTTCCCTGGTCTTAATCCATTTTGCCATCTTCATGAGCTTTATTATAGTTGTTGTAAACTTTATTTTTTCTCATTAAATGCTATGTTGCTGTCACTTACACTCACTATTTCTCTTCCATCTAACCTCCCATAAGCACTCTTCCTTCTCAAGTCAGCTCACATTCTTTTTTTCCCTCTTATAAGAGGGAAAATATTTTCCACCTTTTATAAACAGTTGCTAGTTGGACAAAATACCATGGTTATTGCTGTACTTCTCCAACAGAACTCCTATTTGTTCAGTATTCCTTTGTACTTGAAATCCTACAGATTAATCTCCATTTTACACCATTTTGCCTTCCCCTGCCCCAATCAGTTGAGTGAGGAATTTTATTTTATTTTCCCCCCTTTCTCAACCTGGGCTTTATTCCTTATGTCAGGCCCAGAATTAGATAAAAGTAGCCAAGAGGAACCCGAGGCAGGCTCTAGACTGACTCAGCGAGGAAGATAGAAAGTACAGAAAGTACAAAGAGTGCTGAACAAGATAACCGCCTTGTGCATGACCTTGTCTTTGCAGAAAAGTATCCATTGGTGCAAGCAGAGAACATAGCCATGTGTGTTCTCTCGAGATAGCCAATTGCTAACAGCTACATCTGCTTCTGTATTTGCTTGCTTGCTCACCCCAATAAAAACCCTAGGCTGTAAGCGCCAGGCACGACGACTCTCATTTGCAGCCTCTTAGCACCGTGTCTCCGGACACCTCGAGAGTTCGCCCCTGGGCAGGTAAAGCTTTGGCCAATAAAGTTCCATCTTAAACTCCTGAAAGCTTCTGACCATTTGTTGCTGGTGTTGGTGGATGCCACATTTACTCTTATTAGTTTGCTTCCCTGATACTCTCAAAATCATTTTTCTTTACAGTAGACATCTCATATTCACTTTGTGTTTTTGCACAATATTCTTATTTCCAGTCCACCCCTATTACACTTGATTAAGTGATTGTTGTTATTGACCCTGTTGTGGTTTTTCTGCAATTTTGATTCTGTTGGTCTAATAACTTTTCAGTTTTACTTCAAACCTCACAGTATACTCCTCCCTTTTTTTTAATCCATTGTCCCCTTCATCCTTTTGTGTTTTACTTGTGTTTTAAATTTTCTTCTCTAACTTTTTTCACCGTGGTTCTATACCTAGTCTTATCAATTCTCCTGCCTCTTACCACTTGATAATGTTTTCCCCTCTTTTAGTCATCTCATATTCCATTTCTCATAGCTTGTAACATCTGTAATCTCTCTTCACCTTTATCAATCTCTGCTCAATTGCGGTTGAGATTGCTGATGTGGCACGGGGTTCTTTTTGCTGGCATAAGATTGGTTGTCTGGTAATACTGCTTTGTTAACCAACACCTGTACAACAGTAAACCCACTGGAAGGGAGAACCCGCCAACAAAGAAGCCACCAACAATTAAACCCAAGTATAACGAGCCCACAGAAACAGAAGCACAACTTATAGAGTGTTTAGACAAGGAGATCAAAGAGACTGCACTACTGAGTCCAACAGAACTCTTACCACATAAGTCCACCCCATGAAAACAGGCAGGCAAAACAGAGCAGCCTGAGATACAGAAACAAACAAAAACAATCACCTAAAATGAGGAGACGAAGAAAGAAACTGCAATAGAAAGGAATGGAATAATCCCCAGTAGAAGACATAAATAAAATTGAGGCAAGCAATCTATTAGATATAGACTCCAAAAAAATGCCTATAAGGCTAATTCAAGGAACTCAGTGACAATTATAAGGAACTGAGTGGGAACTATAATAGCATGGAAACTATAAACAAAAACCATGAAGAAATGAAAAATACAATATATGAAATAAAAAATACACTAGAGGAATTACCAGCAGGCTGGATGAAGCAGAGGACTGAATTAGTAAGCTGAAAGACAAGGTAGGAAGAAATACCCAGGTAGAGCAACAGCATGAAAGACTCAAGATGTATGAGAATAGCTTAAGGGAACTCTAGGACAACATGAAACTAAGCAACATTTGAATCATAGGAATACCAGAAGGAG